AACTTACAGATTTATGTTTTACGCAACAAAATACACAAAATTGTAAAATTTCAGCCAAATCGGTAAGGAAGTCTCTCTCCTTCATAATTCGTTTTCTAAAAAGGAGATGTGAAGTTTATTGTTGCCGCTTTTCCGCGATGCCGATTGGTTTTCTTGCTGCGCTTACTTCATTTGCAGCTGTCATTGTATATTTTGACAGTTGTGTATAATAGGGTTAATAGTGAAATGTTAAAGATAAATAGCGCGCGCGTAGCGCGCGTCTGTAGTGTCTAGTACCTTAAAAAATAATTATGTTAATTTTATATATAACATTCCTAACCAATAATTTAATTATAATTATATTGCATAATCTTACCTTGTTAAAAACTTCATTACCAAAGAGTTCGCCATACTCCAAAGTAAAATCTCAATGTAAGAGAGTTCAAAAAGTTAGTATCTAAATCGAGAGAATCGTGTATGCGCTCAATCATGAGAAAATCCATTATCCGTCAGCCTTCAAATATCTGCAGAAAAAATCCTCTGATGACTGACAATAAATGAAATATAAAAATTCGAGATAGTTTGCATTAAAAATATAAACTGGTTTGTCCACCACTTCCGAAAACTTTGCAATTATAATTTTATTATGATATATTTAGATTAAACATTAATTAATTCTTTTAGAGTCTAATCTTCTTTGTGTGTAAGAAGAACATATTAATTTAATTATTTTTTTAAATGTTAGAGATTGCTGAATACGAATATAAAAATTACCACAATTTATTTTGTTGTTATTGCTTTCATGAATAATTAATATTTCCATACACTAAGATATAAAATCAACGTCTATCACAATATAATGGACTCGAATCAATTAATATTTTAACTTGCCTACAATCGGAATTGCGCTACAGATCACTTTCTCGTTCTCTTCAACTTTTACAAGACAGCAATTTACAGACACCTTCCTTCTTAAAGATCTCCTCCGGTAACAGCTTCCTCCGATTAATCTATAATATTATATGATGTATTGATGATCTCACACACACACACACACTAACACGCACACACGCGCGCGCGCACACACACACACACACACACACACACACACACACTCTCTGTCACGTACTTATTTAGCATTAGCACACCTAGTACACATAATAATTTCGTAATAACGACAATATATAAAAATATATTGAGATCTCACCCTCGCCTCGCCCCTTTTTTTCAATTTTCTTATCCAGCGTTATGTAATCTTTCAAATTAAAAGCACGTAACAACAGATATTCGTTTCTCTCCGCTCTTCCGCCTAATAGCGTCCTTCATAAAATGTTACCTATATTCATTCAATTCGCAAAATTTAATTATAATTGCATTATTATATTTTATAAGTGAAATGAGAAATATAATGAAATGTACCTGCTATAAACAAGTGATTTGAAGCGCGAGCAATATATTGAGATCCATCACTATAGTCATAATGTATTTTGCTTCTTTTAACGACACATGCATTAGATTTAGCACTTTGTCCGCTGTATTGAAGAACGATGGAGTTTCCGCTGGCGTGATCTCTTTACATTCGTGTTCCTTCGTCTTTAATACCTAAATATTTGTCAAAATTAAGTTGTTTGGTCGGATGAACAATACATATAATACCAATATTACGAGTATCGTATGACTTACTGCACTGCAGAGTGATTGCAGATCATAACTTCTGACTATTAAGTTCAATTCCTTCGCCGAAACTTGTATATCACAAATTGGACGACCAACAAATCCTTGATTAAGGATTATTTTCCCCTGTATAAATATTACATGTATTATTTTATGTTATAAAGAATATATCTTATTACATTAAAGTTTCTCTCTCTCTCTCCCCCTTTCCCTCTCCCTCTCCCTCTCTTACTAATTACATAAAAATATTTAGGTTAATAATATTTATATAAAAGTGAATTATAGATTACTTAAAAAATTGGTAATTTGTCAGAGAAAAATTTATAGTTCGTGAAAGTTAGTATTTAGGGGAAAATGAATTAATTTCTTTTGCAAATTGGTAATTAATAGAAATAAATTCTTTATTATTAAAATAATTAATAATTTATCAAAAATAAATTACTATTTATTTGAAAATTAATAATTAGTAGAAAATGATTATTAATTTTTTCAATAATAAATATAAATAGTCAGGTAAATTACTTATATTTTAAAAATTATTAATTTGTTAAATATAATAATTTAATTATTGCAGTTAAATGTGATTTAAAAAAGGTAATTATGAAGGAGAAGGGCTTCCTCACTGATTTTGCTAAAACTTCACAATTTTATGTATTTTAGTAAAACATGTGAATCTGTAAGTTAAAATTGTTGCTTTCAATTAGGAAAAAAATTATTATGTACTAAAATTGATAGCTGTGTGGTTAGAATGTCTGTCATACTAACATAATGTAGATGCACACGATCATGCGTAGTGACGTAAAAGTGCATGAAATTATAGTATAATGCAGTATAACAGCAACATCTCATAAAAATCTGGCGCCTTACTTTAATTGTGTGCTATTATTTGACTTTGTATTTATTATACTTTGTATTTATATAGACTTTTCAATATACCAATTATTTTCTGCTTTTTTTATAGCAGAAAATAATTGGTATATTAAGAGTCTATATAAATACAAAGTCAAATAATAGCACACAATTAAAGTAAGGCGCCAGACTATTATGAGAAGTTGCTGTTATACTGCACTATTACTGTAATTCCACTCTTACGTCACTACGGATGATCATGTGAATATAACAGACATCCTAACCATGCAACAATCAATTTCAGTATTTAATAACGCTTCCCTAAAAAATTGAGAGCGACAGTTTTAACTTACAAATTTATGTTTTACGCACAAAATACACAAAATTGTAAAGTTTCAGCCAAATCGGTAAGGAAGTCTCTCTCCTTCATAATTACCTTAAAAAATAATTATGTTAATGTTATATATAACATTCCCAAGCAATAATTTAATTATAATTATATTGCATAATCTTACCTTGTTAAAAACTTCATTACCAAAGAGTTCGCCATACTCTAAAGTAAAATCTCAATGTAAGAGAGTTCAAAAAGTTAGTATCTAAATCGAGAGAATCGTGTATGCGCTCAATCACGAGAAAATCCATTATCCACCGCCAGCTTCAAATATCTGCAGAAAAAATCCTCTGTTGACTGACAATGAATGAAATATAAAAATTCGAGGTAGTTTGCATTAAAAATATAAACTGGTTCGTCCACCACTTCCGAAAACTTTGCAATTATAATTTTTATTATGATATATTTAGATTAAATATTAATTAATATTAATTAATTCTTTTAGAGTCTAATCTTTTTTGTGTGTGAGAAGAACATATTAATTTAATTATTCTTTTAAATGTTAGAGATTGCTGAATACGAATATAAAATTTACCAATATTTATTTTGTTGTTATTGCTTTCATGAATAATTAATATTTCCATACATTAAGATATAAAATCAACGTCTATCACAATATAATGGACTCGAATCAATTAATACCTTGACTTGCCTACAATCCAAATTGCGCTACAGATCACTTTCTCCTTCTTTTCAACTTACAAGACAGCATATGCATGCGTGTGTGATTTTGGATGCACCTTCCTTCTTAAAGATCTCCTCCGGTATCAGCTTCCTCCGATTAATCTATAATATTATATGATATATTGATGATCTCACACACACACACACACACACACACACACACACACACACACACACA